CACATCCATTCTCCAAACATTCTCCCTCTCTCCTTCACATATCTATTTTTACTTTCTCCCTCTAAAGTCTACCTCTTGCATATCCATTTTCCGACCATTTTCGCTCCAAACTCAACATCTTGCACATCCATTCTACAAAGAGACAATTTATCTTTTGTGAATGGAGATCAGAGTCATTCTTAAGTATTAGATATCAAATTGGATGGCTTGAGGTGAGTCATGAAGTGATTTTTTTTTTTTTGAAATTTTGTATTTATTCAATGACACTAGTACAACCACTCATTTTGAAATTTAAAGGACAAGAATGATTCTGCGTACAAAAGATAAATGGTCTCTTTGTAGACCATTCTATATTAAATCGCTATGTACAGTAAGAGCAATGTAAGAGCAAATTTAAGGTGTAATGTAGACAATTTAAACCCTGTAATCTAACTGTAATGTATTATCTAGCCTCTAAATACTATCCAAACAGTAACAATCCATTTGCCTGTAATGTGTTACGCAATAAGGTATTACACCAGTAATATATTTTACAGACAATATATTTTTAAGTATCCAAACGACCCCTTAAAATTCAGCTTTTAATGAGATTTTGAGGTGCATCTCACTGAGATTGTTTAAGGTTGACACCTTGCACAAACCTCACCCTTAAAGAAAAGATTGAAAGCCTTATATTTATTAAAATGGTATGTTAATAATAAAAAAATTTATAAATTCAAATTTTTCTAATATATTAAAATGTTTTATCCATAACCCCTTTTTTGTATGATTTGTACATCAATTACTTATAAGATAGCGACAATAACATCTGTCATTTAGAAAAAAAACGTATCAATAATAAGTTTGGACAGACGATTGTTATTGTTGTTTCAAAGATTAGAAGTAATTAAAAGGTTACTACAAGGACTTTTTATGTGTTGAGTTTCATGGATACTTCAGATATATTTTCTTTGAAATAAAATAAATCTTAGAGAACGATTTTCACGTACAAAGGCCAAATTCTACCTGAGGTCCTAAATTGGTTTTCTTTAAAAATGATTTGCCGTAGATCTTTTTTTATATATATATAACATTCATATAATTTTATTCAAGAGCTAAACAGGAATTACATCATTAGAGACTAAATTCTCAAAAAGATAAGTGCCGTTTTTAGCTAGACTATCACCAAAATATTAGTCTCCCGGAAAAGGTGGACAAAGGAAAGAGAAAAAGATCCGGACAAGACCAAAATCTAGAGCAAAATAGAACGTAATTCCCAAGGTACCTTCATCTCCCCCTTACACCAATTGATAACATTGAGGGAATCTCCTTCAATAATGCAAGTCGAACTTAAAACCAATCGCCAAGTAATTTCAAATCATGAAGAAGAGCCAGAAATTCAACATCATTTGCAGTTTTATCACTCAAATGATCTGAATAAGAAAAAAGAATATGTCATTCTCAATCCCTCAAGACTCCTCCAAAACCCGCTGAACCTGGATTACCAAGCGAGCTCCCAACAAAATTAAGTTTCAAAACACTTCTTAATGGAGCGGTCTATCTCCCTTTGGGCCTACATTTCCTATAACCCAGCTAGAAAAGATTGTATAGATTTCTTCTAACATCAGCTTCTATAATATCTCTCCCCACCTTTGTGATAGACAAAAACATCCAAATAGGATGGAGTATACGATCCAAATTCTATCTACTGGTAAATAATTACAAGCAAACACTTCTATTTCTCTCCTGCCACACCTCCCATAAAATTACACATCTTGCTATTTGTCAAATCACCGCACCAGTTTGAGGTAAAGAAGAGACAGATAATGCTCAAATAATTCCTATAACGTCTGGAGGTAAGATCAACACCACTTTAACCTGAGCAAAAAACCAAGGGCAATGTAGAGAAAGATGAGTACCTGATTCAACATCCCCTTTACATAACAAACATATATTAGGTACATTTTTCTTTCTTTTAATGAGATTATCTGTAGTCAATACATTGTTTTGAACCGCCAACCACAAAAAAGCTTAGATCTTAAGAGGAAGCAGCCACTTCCAAATAGCAACAATTTCAGGCATTGACCATCTCCATCGATCATGAAATAATAGATGGTACATAGATTTGACCGAATAGACATCATCTTTTGCAATATCCCAGACCACCTCATCTTCCACATTAAGGGGTAAATACACCTCATTTAGCGCTGATAACAAACCACTAAACTCCGAGAAAAGCTCATCGTAAATTCTATTATATGGTAAAATGATCTTCCACTCAATCTAATCCCCCTTTCTCTCAAAGAGATCCAAAATCAACGTATTGGGATTAGCCACCCTGTTGAAAATCAAAGGAAACACATATTTTAACGGAGAGTTATCTAACCACTTATGGTGTCAAAAGGAGATATTTCTTCCATCACCAATTGTCCATCTGATATCTCTATGGATAAGAGTATTACACGAGTAAATAGATCTCCAACAATGTGACATCCTTAAGCTACCAAGCCTGCCTCCAACCCACATGTTGTATATATCCTCACCATACTTCGAGCTTATCACTTTCTACCAAAGCTGATCTTTAAAATTTAAACTTCTCCACTACCATTTACAGAGTAAATTTTAACCATTGGTTGATATTTATGTACCATTCAAGCCTCCACATGATATGAAAATTATACATATCCCTACCTCGAATGGCACATATGCTCGAAATAAATTTTAAAAAAATTATATAAAATCCCAAAAAAGTAAGGGATTTATTTTTAATGTGCTTTTGAATTTTTTTTATCATTTTGGTAAAGATTGGAAAGTCTTTTGGCATGAAAACTTATTTTTATATTTTTCTATCTTTTATGAAAACTTTAAAAAATACACATGGGCACAAATCGATTTTTTAAAATCGATGGTTTTCAATAATTTTGAACTTCATTTGGATGTGTTTTGTTTAACTAATATTTAAATATATTTTTTTATTTTTTAAAAAAATATATTTTTTAACATGTTTTTTATCAGCTCTAATTTGCCCTGTTAGGCCGGTTAAACCAGCCGGTTTACCTATTAGTGGGAACCGGCCCATGGCCGGTTTCGGACGCGGGTTCAATTTTTCGAACACTTGCTGAGACCATTTATTCCACACTTTTAAATCTTGGTGCAGTGTCTTAGAAATCGGAAACGACTGTGATTTGTAAAGGTTTGGAAGGTCAGATAATCTTAGGCATAAAACTTAAAGTACAAAAAGAATTTCTAAGAAGAAGGGGCACCAGATTAATCCACGGTTCCCCGAAATGGGATCAGAGTCATCAAACCATTCCAGTTCCAGTTCTAATCGGGCAATTCTAATTTTAAAACGCTGCTTTAGTCTGATAATTGTTTTCTATTGCTAATTGTTTTTTTAGAAGGTTAAAGAAATTTACATAAAGACTCCAAAGCAGTAGCTGTATTCCTGGCAGAGATAAAATGACATTAAACATTGTCCACTAATTATAGGTGGTGGAGATAACTATGAATTTACTATCAAGCTGGAAGTTCAGGAATCCGGGGACTCGAGGCAATTGTCAACGAATCTTACACCTGTTCTTATAAAACCACATAAATAACCACCCCAAAATGCAAAGTGAAAGAACTATTAATAAGAGATGAAGACATACAGAAGCCCAACAGCACAAACACAGTTTCTCCCTATCAGTTTTCTCACTGTGTTTATGCTGGTTTCAATCTTCCTGAGAGAGAGAGAGAATCGAAATTGAGTTTACAAGTAATGGATTCATGGATATTGTTTCATGTTGCCTTGGTGGGAGCCCTCGCTTTAGGCCACTTTACCCCAGCTAGCTGTAGAAATGACAAAAGTCGCAAACTTTTGAACAGTGGTTAGTGAATCTCACTTTGTTTACATCATTTTATTTTGAGTGTGTTTAATTTAGAAGCCAAAATATATCTTACTTCTGCGGGAGTATACTATGCCGACACGGTCTTTTCCTGGAGTATGACAACTTATTAAGAGATGACACTGACTTTTCCGGTGAGTACGAGAACTTATTAAGACTGTCTTTTCCGGTGAGCACGAGAACTTGTTAAGAGACTATCACAAAAGACAGGGATATATGTGTCACTGTTTGATAAAAACAAATATCTGAAATGCGATTTTCGAAATCCATAGATGATTTAAATAGAAAGATGGATGGGATTTTGGAAAGTAAAGTACTTCTACAATGGGATTTTCACGAGAAAGATGGTTTAAGTTCCTAAAAGTTTGTGTCTGACAGAAGTAACGTACTTTAGTGTGTCGATATGCACAAAAAACCTCAAATGTAGAAATTTTAGATAAAAAAAGTGTACAATGATATCAATATGTGTTTTCTTTTTCTTTGTTTTCTTTAATTTCCTTAAATTCCATGGAGGCTGTCTATTTATTGGGATTTTACTACCTAAATTCACAACTAGATCAGAACCGATGGGGAAACAGTCCCAATTCACCCTGAGATCAAGACTCAGGCTGGTGCCCATTTCTTTTTGGTCTTTTTTTTGTATGATCTCTCTCATTTCAACCCTTGTTAATTGATTTTTAACACATCGCCCTTCCCTGATCTCCCTTTGGATCCATAAAGAAAATTTTTGAATCAAATCCAATTTTAAAAGAGATTTTATTTAATCCAAGACACGTCATTTTAGAGCTCTAAACCCCCAATTTGTCATTTGTTTGATTTCCCCCTCATTTCAGCACCATTTTGTCGAAATTGTTTTAAGGTACTCGTTTTTTAGCTCTCCAACAAGTTCATGTCACAATTTATAAACTCCCAGCATGCATTATACTCTATGTTCTTCCCAATTTCCACCATTCAACTGATTTGGATGGTGGACTCTCGAGTGAGACTGGCTACAATCTTCCCCAAAATGATCGTAGTATTTATTTTCCATTTCGAATTTTCTCAATTTATATAAGAATTTCAATCTCATTTTGAAATTTTTAGTTTTTCAGCCTGTTGAGGTTGGGCACTCATTTCATTGCATAAAGTAACTTCACCGAATTCCAATCTTAAAATTTATGATAAACCCATTACAACTTATTTGTTATCTTATTTCGAAAATTACAATGTTTACTAATGGAAAAAAATCTCTAATGCGGTCAAGTGTGGGAATTTCATTAGAAAATGATAGAAAAGATATTGAGATTAATGGAAATCATATTGAAAATTCTTTTCTCGAAACGAAACATGAGCACTCATCGGTGCACAGCTGAGGACGATGATGATGCCTATGCAGGTACTGGCCTGGTGGGGGTGAACTACGGCCTGGTCGGGGACAACCTCCCTGAACCGTCTGCAGTCGTTGAACTCTGCAAGTCTAACAACATCCAAAGGATTCGGCTATTCGAACCCAACATCCCGGTCCTGGAGGCCCTCAGGCAGTCGGGCATCGCAATCGCAGTAGGGGTAAAGAATGAGGACCTCCAGAACCTCGCAGTTGACCAAGCTGCTGCAACCACTTGGATCGCAAACCACGTCACACCCTACATCAATGACATCAACTTCGATTATGTTGTGGTCGGCAATGAGGTCAGCCTCGCCGATGAGGGCATTAATGTTGCCCCTGCAATGCGGCATCTCTATAATGCTCTCCAAGACGCCGGCAAGAGCGCCGTCAAGGTGACCACATCCATCGCTCTAGACAGCCTCTCAATATCCTATCCCCCTTCTGCTGGTGCATTCTCCACAAGTGTCGTTGCCCCCATGGAAATTATAGCCTCCTTTTTGATCAGCACCTCCTCCCCCCTCATGTTGAATGCATACCCTTACTTCGCGTACGCTTCTGACTCCCAGCACATCTCCCTCGACTACGCCTTGTTCCGGCCGAGTGCTCCAGTGGTCCAAGATGGCAACCTTAGCTATCACAACATCTTCGACGCGATGGTGGATGCACTGTACTCGGCCCTGGAGAAAGTGGGAGGGAGCGCCCTCAGTATTGTGGTCTCGGAAAGTGGTTGGCCGAGCGCCGGGAACGGTAACTTTACGACAGTGGCGCTAGCTCAGGAGTACAATACCAACCTGATATCTCATGTAGCAGCGGGGCAGGGCACACCAAAGAAGCCTGGGTTTGCAACACGCACATATTTATTTGCCTTGTTCAATGAGGACCAAAAGTCCCCTGGAGTGGAGGAAAACTTTGGGCTGTTCTATTCCAACATGAAGCCGGTTTACCCAATCACCTTCCCTTAAAATGAGAATTATCATGTTTTATCTTTGTTTGTATGTTTGTTGAATAAGCCAAGGTTTTATCTTTATTTAATTCAACATGGTTTTATCTTTATTAAAGAGCAGGTCTTCTTCTTTTCTTCTCCAGGAATCAGACAAAAAAAAATGAATTTTAGAAGTTCAAAGATAGTGTATTTTAAAGTTTCAACAAATCTGATTCGAGAGGGATTGACACACTTGAAACCCCTCGGTTTATATTGGAATTGGACAGTTACATAGTTCCTATCTAACTGCAATACGTACAATTCTATAAGTGCAAGGGGAAGTTCACGGTATGAACAGGATGCATGAGTCCATACGAGTTTCCAATGAACATAAGGTAGCTTAAAATCCAGTTTATTTTTAGAGTATAATTGTTGATGTTGAGATGAACAATTTGGACGTTTTTCTCAGTTGGACAGCAGTGTTTTGTTTTTTTTTGTGTAAGATGTAAGTGTTGGATTTGGTGCTATCGAAATTCTATGTTGGAATGAGATAAATATTGGTAAGTTTATTAAAGGAAATAGAAATTCAAATAAGACTAGAAATCTTGGCCATATCTCTTATTTTTTAAGATATATGTAACATATGGAAGTTTTCTATTTAGTGTGGATTCTTAATTTTATATATACGAGATAAAAGTTAATCGAATTTATGTACATTATTTGGGTCACCATATGGAAATAGTAGTTCCTCTAGAGAAAAAAAAGAGGGGCAAGGTTTCCCTTGCATGATATACAAGGCCTATATAAAAAAAAATGATGGAAGTGAATAGAATTTGTGTATCCTATTTGGGTACCATATGAGAATGGTGGTTCCTCAAGAGAAAGAGAGAGCCAGGGCTTTCTGTATATGATATGCAAGGTCTCTTATAGAGATAATAGAGCTTTTTATAAAAAAAAAACTTCAAAATCATTGGTTTCAAAATCATCAATTCGATCCAAAATTAGACGATCCGAATTGGTTATCGATTACTTCTTTGTATCCACTAATAAAATGGGATCTAGATAGTTCCTTTTTTTATGGTCTTTTTATGAAAAAATCCCTGTACAATAACTTTTTGTGTTCCTTTCTGGAGTGTGAGGTGGCGTCGTCTACCATGCGCTATTTTGACTTTCATGCCCTTGGTACCATCTGGCTTTGTACCATGCGCTACGCATGATGACTCACGCTGGAAGCCTTGTGCCTTTAATATGGTAAGCCGGTCTCACATCTTTTTCGTGTGGGGCAAATATTTTTGGTCTATTATACCTTTTAGCATTAATAAAGTCCACAAATAAATAATATGGTAAGCTTCAACTGTGCATTAATAAACAGAGCTTTCAATTGTGACCTTTTGCTATAAAATAACCCGCTTATTAGATATTAGGCATTTCGTTATTGGTGGATAGAGATTAAAACAAAAAAAAATAGTAATAGCTCATAGGATATTAGAACAACAAAAAATAATATTACTACTAGTTTATTGACCATTAAAAAAATAATAATTTATAGGATATTTTAAAATAAAAAATAACACTAGCCCAAACCACTTTAAAATCTATTTTAAAGTTGCTTTGTCAACTATCTCACATTGCAAGTATGATATTTATTTAAGGAAAGGTTTCTATTCCTCTACAACATAGAAGATCTATACTTTCCCAACCATCCAGTCGTTCAATTTTGATCAGAGAGCCACTCACCATTTGATCATAGATTCGACATCTCAAAATATTTTATTTTTAGTTTTTTTATACAATTTGTATGAATTTGAAACTTGGTACGTGACATTTTCTCATTGGGGTGCACCTATAAAAAATATTTAAAATAATATTTGATAAAATATAATGACCAAAATACCCCTTGAATTTTTAGGGGTATTTTGGTTATTTTATTTTATTGAAAATATTTTTTTATATTTTTCGCTAGTGCAAGTTTAATAGAGGATTGGACGTACAAAATTTGGATTCAAAATAGTTTATAGCAGTGATTTAAAAAGCGGATCGGTGATCCGGATCAAGCATCTTAAAAACCTATCCGAATTGGCGAATCGACGATCCGGATCGGGAATAGGCTGAATCGGTTGGATTAAACCTTAAAAAAAAATCCAAAAAAATTATTAAAATTCATTAATAAATATTGGTTTTTAGGAATTCAATAAGAAATGAAGGTACCCTATAAAGAATTTTCATTTCTTTGCATGAATATGCGAATATTGATATTTTTTTTCCCTGCATGAACTACTATTTACCATTTAATTTACATCACACAAAAGGATAAATATATAATTATCATGGATTAAGTATATCATCATACGTAGACTACAATAAAGCATACAATTCGTAACATACGATCTAAAAATAAAATGACAGACGACGTCGTTCTTCATCTTGGTCACGCTGGTGCCATTGATTGAATTCGCGTGACAATTCATTGACTCGATCTAAAAATGAATCTTCCAAATTAGTGAGCACCTGACTATACCCAAATCCTTGAGTGTTAGTGTTTTGTTGTGGTTCTAATCCAAAATCCCCGAAGCTTGTCCATCCTTGATGCTCACCTACACTATCGTGTTCATCCCTACCCTCTTGTTGTTGGGACTCAATATGTGAATAATTTGGTTGGGATTGGGTGGCCTCAAAATCATCATCTCTCTCATTTTCCCTTAGACCCCCTTCCCACTCTCCCTCATTAGGTGCAATATCACCGACATCTCTGACGAATTGTGGATATATTGGCGGGTTGCTTCCTCTTTCATGCTGCTCATCACCTTCTTCAAGATCTTCCTCACCTATAGCCTCCAGGAACGCTCTCTTGTGCAACACTGGCTCAGCTTCTTCTACTACCCATTGTTCTGCTGTGTATATGACAAATATTATGCCCAAGTCTATCGGCCCATAATCTTCAAGCTTCCTTCTTATTTGTCGCTCTCGGAGGTTTAAGTTGTAATAAACGTAAACTAGTTTATGAAGCTTCTCCGAAGTGAGTTGATTCCTCTAGTAGTGTGCAACCATTGGAACGTACTCCAGTTTTGCTCACAGCCAGTAGCAGAACATGCATGGGAGAGCATCTTGATTGCTATCCTCTTTAGGTGAGGTGCATCACTACCATATATCTCCCACCATTCCGCTAGATTAAAATGCAAAAAGCATTGTAAGGGCACGAACAATTCATAAGATTAAATATATGAATGAACAAAATATTAGTTAGGGGATAATTTGGATCCATCTTAGTTCGAGAATTCCTGACAAATCTAGTTTCGAAGGATCCTATAGCATCCCTATACATAGCAAGCTAAAACAAAATATTTCGTTTTAGTGCATTATTCCTTACAAATATAACAACTCAATCAAGTTCTTATCCAAATATTAAATAATATATCTAGTATTGCTGCCACCTGGTTTCGATGGCTTCTCTCCGACCTGGCAATAATGTATCTGACCCCTTCCATAATCTTGTGGGGATGTTCAGGTGTCAAACAGAAAAATTTTGGGTTGAAGTAGTAACCTAGAAAATATATAGATAGAGAAATGTCATTTAAAATTTCATAAAAAAATAATTTACAATGAAACATTCTAATGATATAAATATATATTTACCTACATAATGAATTGGACGTTCAAATTTGATGTTCCACCTTCTTTATATAATCACGATCACTTTACTTGCAAAACTACACTTCTCCCCAATAGCTGATTTGGCCCTCTCGATACCTTCATAAAGGATGCCCATGGTAGCTTTCTTGCCAGTATCCACCATTCTTAACACCGTGACCAAAGGGGCAGTGGCCTCTACGATACTGGAACATCGAGACCAGGACCTCCTATTTAAGACTATGTCATCCACTTTTAGCCCGGTACTGGACTTCGAGAGGCAGTCATTTAACCACTCTTCACTGGTAAATAATCTCGTTATTGCACCTTCAGATTCCCTAATGGAGTCCACAGCCAAGTAATCTATCGCAAAATGGGTTATGGTAGGGCTGATTATCTCTTTTTTCCTAGACTGTTCTCTGAACAAAAATAAAATTTTAGAATGGTTATATATAAATCTTGACACTAACCTCGCTTCTTGTATAGTCTCCTTCACAATTTTGATCTCACTGATCTCCTCTAACATAAGATCGATGCTGTGTGCAACATACGGGGTCCATACTAGATGCTTCCTCTTATCCATCGACTTGCTGCCCGCAAAAACACATGCACGCGCATTGTCCATAATAAATTGGACTACATGTTTATCTCCCACCTCCTCCACTATCTGATCATATAGTCGTATGTAGAAGTTTACATCCTTATTTGTCCTTGATACGTCTTTGCCAGACAAAAAAGTTGCACCTTTTGAGGAATAGGCCAAGAAGTTTAAAAACTCATTTTTGCTAACTTTATTCAACCAACCATCACTCACGAGAGTAATGCCTGTTCTTGGCCAACTCTGTTTATATGTTTCAATCCACTTTCTAATTTCCTCCACCTCTTCATCCAATATTGGCCCACTGAGCTCATATGTCGTCGGGGGTTTTACCCCGGGCCCGACTCTCTAGATTGCGTTGACCATAGGTGGAAAATATGGGCTATTGGCTCCATCAAATGGGATCTCTTTATTGTAGAACCGTTTACCAACATATCTGCCCAACATGTTTCTCGTACCTTTCACCATGCCTTTGAGGGTCATATGTTCTGACTTAGGCTTTGAGAGAAATGCGTCTATACGACCATGACCTGCAATACTGGCACTCCTAGATAAGCTAGAAACAATTTCTTCAACGTATAATTCCTCTTGATACATATTGACACCAACCCCTCCATACATATTTGAGCTGGGCCTGCCATACATGCTCGAGCTGGGCCCGCCATGCATGTCTGAACTAGGCCCACCATGCATGCCCATATCATAACCACCAAGCATTTTAAACCCTTGTTCCCTCTGGTATGTTTCATGTAAACTCATTCTTGTGGCCATCTCTAAGTCATTATTATATTACTCTTCTGGATCATTTCCATTTGATGGCATATATAAACTAGTTATCTCCTCATCCATCCTCTGCTTTGCAATTTTTTTAGCTTTGTTGCCTTGAGAAATGTCGTCATTTGCTTTCTTACATTATTAGGGATACT